TCCGATGGATATTTTTTAAGATTATACGATCCACGCCCCTATATATAGTCTGTCATTTTTGCAAGTAAATCATGTGTTATATAAATATACTAGTATTTACTTTTATCCAACTAACTATCTGAAGTCACTCATCTGATACAAGTTTTATATACATATATACAATTTGTGCTCGACATTTACTTCAGACCTACAAACAATGGCAGCTTTTGTAGAGACACAACAATATGAAACCTTATCAGAATCTTGAGGATGACACAGAAAATATCACAAAAACTGAAATCCAGAGATACAAAAGAAAAAAGTGGACCTCATCTAATCAATTCAAAAAACTTCAGTTTGGAATATGGAAAACAACTTTGTCTAATATTGAATCAGAATGGAAAAATGGATTTTGCAGTTGTCCAAACTTTTTAAAAGAATATATTTGCAAACATATAGTTGGCATCTCAATTTTATTGAAGTTTTGCAAACCACCCCCAGCAGCAAAGGACGTATCGTTGGGGGAAAAAAGAAAAAGAGGACGACTACGAAAAGCAACCAAAGTATTGCTAATCGATTAACTGTTTAATCAATTTTTTTACTTATGTATTCTGTATTTATTACTTAGCAAAAATTAATTTTTTACTTCGCAAAAACTATTTATTTACTTAGCATTTTTCAATATTTAACCTAGAAAACTAAATGTTTTTACTGAGAATTTATATAAATCACTTAGGAAAAATAGAATTTTTTACTTAGCATTTATGTATTTTTACTTAGTACTTAAATAGGTGCCGAAAAAAATAATAACAGTCAAGATTCGTGATAGATATTAATTGATTGAGAGAAAGACGAATTGTCTGGATGTAAGAAAGAAAACTGAGCATCATAAGTCATCTCTCATACATCCTGATTATGGAAACGCATGTGGAAGCTAGGCCTGACCTTCTGAAGAGACAGCTCTCTATAATATCACTCTCAATGAAATAATTAAGCCGTAAATGGAGAGTGAGAATAGAATCTATAAACATTTTTCTGACCTCGAATCCTCGATAATGTATGTCACGAATGAGTTTGGAATACCTTCTCTATTTCGTAAATGGATAATGTTCCAACGTTTTAGATAGGAAAAATTGTTTATTTATAGTCTAATTCTCTTACTATCGTAATTTATTCAAAACTAAAGTACGTAAAGATGTCTTATAGATTCATAAAAAGTAAGAATATATTTATATTGTTCATCTATGATAAGTTGTATTTGAATGTTTGCCGTATTTTTTTATTATAGGAACATTGAGTGATAGAACATCTTGTAACAGAAAGGATATTGTTTTTCAATTCATGGTCACGAGCAGGGATTCGTGCCGCTCTGTATATTATTCACGCCAGATTAGGAAACGATTGGAACGGGTCTGTATTCAAGGAGATTGATTTGATCCTATTCACAATACTGTGTTATTTGATGGATTTAATATAGCTGTTTGTGTAAAACTATCGTCTCATAGTACAAATTTCGTCATACAATACAAATCTTTAAATGTGCATATGCAAAACTCAACTAAATACTTCCGTTAACGTTGCCAGTTATTCATTTGATAGTTGTAGTGTAAATACTTACTAATATTCTTGAGATGAACATTGTTTGGGCCGGATACATAGATCGAGAATGCACCTGTCGTATTAGATCCATGCGTTGTTACAATCAATATATATGTGATACTAGTTTCAAGAGTAATTCTGAATCTAAACTGATTTAGTTTGCAGCTATTATCATCGTAATAGAGTCGATTTTTATATGGATTAGATGGATTGAAATAATCGTTGTAAATAGAGCCGTATGTGTCCATACTACTGTTACTGAAGAAAGTGTAAAGACCACTTGTATGAACATTCACTTGTATCGCTTCATAGTAAGACATTGACAAAGAACAATCATGTGAATAGTTTGAACTGCTCGTTGTCAATTTTGATGCATAACCTGTTTGAACAACTGATGGACTATTCACTAACGAAAAAGAAAACCGACTCAATTTTGTATAATATGGAAATAAGTGTAAACAATTTGAAATATTATTTTCACATCTCAGATGCAATTACCGAAAGCGACTGGAAATGATATGAATCTTAGTCTCTATCAAACAGAAATATCTGTATATCATTTTGTAGATTGAGTTTATCTATATTTTTCTATTGATAATGGATAAGTGCAACTGATTATCTATTACAATACTATAAATACTCACAAATACGATTGAAACCAATATAGCTTCGATTAGATCCTTTAATTGAAAAGCTCCCGATTAAATTCCGAGATGTTGTTATAACGACAACATATGTCATATTAGCTTCAAGAATAGCTGTGACTTTAAATTCACTTTGATTGCTAAAGCTTCCATTAAGGCTGTAGACATTTTTGGACACATCGAATGGATTGAAGTTATTTGTGTAGATATAAGCATACGTGGTTTTCATTTCGCTCTTGATTAGAAAAATATAATAGTCAGTTTTAGTGACGTCCATTTGTATCCGTTCATAATACGAATCGACTTCTGAACAATCTTGAAAATAAATTGAACTATTTAGGGTCAACGTTGATGAATACATTGCTATTAGTAATGAGTGATCTACTGAATGAAACAATATCAATGAGTATTTGGATTTACAATAAAGAGAAGTATTCTTAGTTTGCTTTTCACTATGTTTACTAATGCGAGTTGAATCGTTTGTTTTAGAGCAATGTTTTTAATAGAGAAATGAAGAAAAACAAAAAATAAAATATCTTTTTAGTATCCTTACAATAAGTATCGATGTTAGCCGTTAAAATCTGCATGTTATTTCTTAGAGATGTTGTAATAAATACAATAAAGAAATGTTATAAAACTTCGTATACAAAAACGAGAACCAATCTGGACTAAGAAAGTCAGATAAGCCATAGACTTACAAATTTATGACTTCTTCATTATCAGCTTTGTCTTCAAACTTTTCTTCTTTTATAAATATATAATACAAAACATTAGTTTTTTTGTTGATATCACTCTGCATAACAATCAACTATTTGATGAAACTATTTGATAAAGTTCAGTCAATCTGCGAGTATGACATGACATCATCAAGAAAATGTCGGTTTGAAGTGACGCTCGATCCATTGTTAAAATAATACAAGAGCGATTCTTTAATTATTTTTTATTCTGATAAAGCGCGTCTTGAATAACCACGTAACAATGAAACTTTTTTCTACTTCTCGTTGTTGGCATTTTTCTGTGAAGATACTGACCTATGTTTAAATCTTACTCCTTTGTGATAATTCTGGTTCTATTCTCGTTCGTCAACGAAAATCAAGACCACAAATATAACATAATCATTTTGTCATCTCGAGAGTAAAGGCGACATTCTATATCTTTGTGATAGCATCACGAATTGTGGTTAACACTCGAGCATCGTGTTATTTCCCTTTGGCAGATGTTTTATATCTCGGCCTGTCCAAGCGTGACGGAATCACGTTTTTCACTTTGTATTTTCAATATCTCACTAAAGGAAAGTCGAACAAGGCCCAAATTTATACATGCTATATACGCCAGTTTCCTCTGCAGATGCTGCAAGTTTCATGAGGTTTCAAGTTCCCATATTTATTTTATGATCGAAATATAGGCACGTTACGGAATCATCAAAAACGGAGCTGAACTTTGAGTGTTATTCAAAGAATTCAAAAACTTAGCTTAACTATAACTGCAACAGAAAAACATTCTGTAGATAAGTTTTAACTCAGATGACGACTCATATGTAAGAAAAAAGAAAATTTGGCAATTGCGCAATACTATCTTTGTAAGCGACAAAAAGTGTCGTGACGGAATCACATTTTTGTTACGGAATCACTTTTGAGAAATGACTATATTTTCTGATTTTTAATTTTCTTGAGCAAGCTAACAATAGTTCCTTAGAATACATAATCTAATGTTACGCGTTAAAAATCAATGACAAAAAACTCTAGATTACGGTTTCCATAGTATAAAACTCCCTTCTTAACAGTATCAGAATATATTAGATTGAGTCTTCAAACGAGAGAACGTTTTCAACTGTCACGTCGCTTTGAGTTTGATCTCGGTGAATAACATAGATCTAAATACGATTAAAAAAAACCGTAGAAGAATAAATTTTCTCAGGCCTCCTGTCTAGAATTATTGAGATTTTACTGGAATTTTAGGCTAAGACATGAAATGTACCAACAGATGCAATGGCAGTATTCGGACCCAATATTTTGCCTATTGACAACTCCATTAATCTGTAGAATGTTCAGAAAATTTGGGCACAAAAGAATGTTCTATTACCAAAATACTAGTCTCAAAAATCATTTATATCTTGAGAGTGTGGCTGTCTATTGTTGACCTAGACTGACACACACCCTGACCCACACCCACACCCACACCCTCACGTAGTTACGTGGACAGGCCGATCTACGAATTTTAAAGCAAATCGAACAACTATGCCAAACGACTTTTTGTTCTGAAAGATGGAAATCGACGCGAGAAATTTTTTTTCACGCCGATATTTATTTCGAAGTATTTTTAGTTCGATAAAGATTTGATAAATCTCAATAAAAATTTTACTTCTGATGTGTGTTTCATGTTTCATAAAATCAGTGTGTTCATTATCTTCTACAGTCAACAATGGTACGTGAGCGTAGATAATGATGGATCAAAGAAAATTTATAAAGAATATTCAACAAAAAGGTCTGAAATCATCTCTGACTTTCCCTACTAAATACATTGACATTCGAACTTCTATCTGAATCATCCAACTAACAGAACTATAATGTTATCGATTGTCTTTTGTATAGAAATATGAATAAGCAAGGTTTTTATTTTATAACAATAGTATTTCAGAATAAAACTTGAAATTTGAATTTAACTATTCAATAATTCAGTTCGAAATCTCCCAGAACTTTCATTTTCATCTTCATCTTTTATAATAGTTTTTCTTTTAAAGTCTCTGAATAAATATTGATTAAAATGATATTAGACACTTTATTCAATCATTATAAACTTACCACATGAATCTGCGAAATATTGAAATTTTTGAATCCGAGAGTTTCTCATATCAGTAACAAACATGTTTCCAGAACGATCGAAACTAAAACGAACTGGGCCAGACAATTGATTGGATTGTGAACCACTTCTATAACATCCAACTAAGCATCGAAAACCGTTCACGTTTGAACCAACAATGCGATCATTGCCTAGTTCCACAATGAATAAATATTTCTCAGCATCTAATATAACTCCAATTGGAGAACTAAGTGTAACTGTTGGTTTTAGTGATTTTCTTCCAGCTACTGTAATGCCATTTGAATTTCCTAACTGAAATAACTGAACTTGATGATTTTCACAATCTGCCACATATAAATCCAAATTAATATCGACAAAAATTCCCATAGGACCATTAAGTTGATCCAAGGCTGATCCACTAATTCCTGTTCCAGCAGCGACACGATTTGAGGCCATCACATCAGCATTGAATGATCTTTTCACTACTTGTGCACGAAAAAGCATCGAACAATAAAGAGTATCATTGATATCGACAAACAAACCCCAACATGATGAGTTCACATTCATCACCGTGACAAAGTTATTTGTTTCTGCCATCCATTTCTGCACTCGACCATTCTTAAATCCATCATAATTTTTATCATCAATAGGAACATCATCGCCCTCATCACCAATATAAATATCACGATTTAATGTCACGAAGAGGGACAAGGGCTGTGTAAAATTACCGCGAATGACTTTTGCTGGATTGACACTGTCTTCTTCCCACATCACAATTGTGCTGTTTTCTCGATTAGCGACATAGATTGTGTTGTTTGTGCTCACAAAAATAGAAATAGGTCCGAAACCAACAAGCAATTTATTAGCAATGGTAATTCCATTGGAATTCCAAATAGCTGTTGGACAAAACTTTGGCTCATTGAATGAAAGAGCTAAAAACAAGAGAAACATAAAGAATATTAGAGAAGAACTGTAAACGAAACGAAATTGTTAGTTTATATTCTTCTTAGAAAAATTCATTGCGATTAATTTAAAAAAATTTCTATGATTGTTGTTCTATTCTCTCGGATGATTCGTAAATATCAACATACAGAAATGGCTGAATTCAATGAAGAAGATTAACTTTATTTATTGAGGGTGTGGGTATAGGTGTGAGTGAAAGCTAAACGAATATTCACGCCCATTTACACCCACCCACCCCCACCCCCACCCCCACCCCCACACCCACACCCACACCCACGCCCACCCACGCCCTCAATCTCGCATAGTCACGGCATGCATTTAAATCCAGATTGGCGTCTTCTCAATCAACGAGCGATTCATTCGCCATTGTACTTTTCTATCTATGCAACATTTTCTGTTACATTACAGGATGAAATACAAGATGCTTGAAGTTGACAACGCAACACTCTAGTCATACATATTGTCATCTTTGTTGACGATCTATATTCATTCAACGTCACCGTTATCATCGGTTACAAAAGCCTCTTTAATCTCATCACCATCTATATGCTCACTCAGTTTTTCCACTTTTTAAATCTTATGTTTACCCATCCACATTCGAAAAACATCCATAACGCTATTCAATACTCGTGAAAAGGGTAAATTTGTGAGAGTCGTCGAGACTGTGACGATTTTGTATTTTGTTTGATAGTATAGACTTTGAAAATAGTTTTAGATGCAAAACCAAGTGCTTCACCATGATTTTTGCTATGAAATAATATGCTATGTCTAGGAACAGCCGATTAATCTATTTGTGTTTTTTTAAATGAACGATTCAAAGACTTTTTCAATGTGACACACATGTAACTCATATTTCATCACTGATAGTTATGACAACATTTTATAATTTCAGCATAGCTTAACAATAAAATGAATCCCTGTAGAGAGACACACTCTATGAATGAGCTAGAATGGAGTCTACAAGAGATGAGAGTTATCACCTTTGATAATATAACAGAAATTCTTGTCAAATTCTATAATCTATTATTTCACTCTCTTTTGTTCAACTAAAACTCTAAGAAATAATATCAGTTCTGTGCAATAGCTGGTCTTCAGTATGTAATAAATAAAAGTATTTACCTGATGTTTTATTGTTGAGAATGAACAGAAGAATATACACAAATATGTAGATATTCCACATCATTCAACAAGATTTGTTTTTGATAAATTAGTTAACTAATAAAATGATATCCTTCTTCTTCTTTTTATCTTCGATGAAAATAGAATGACATTCGTTGTGGATTTTCTCTCTAGTTATATATATATATCCTTCTATTTTTCTCTCATTCATTTCTTCCAACATCAGATAAAGAGAAAAA